AATGAAGGCAGTCCTTGGCGACGGAGTACCCCGCCTCCTCCACACTCTGCTCCCAGCCACGTGACTGTCCTTCCTTCCCTCCCCCTCCTCCCCCTCCCTCCAGGACCACTGCACAGACCACCTCCTCTGCCCGGTTTGACCCTTCTCCCACCTTCTCCCTGGTCTTTCTTGAGACCTCAGCTCAGTCACCTCTTTCTTGGGGACTCCAAATATCCCCCACCTAACTGGCCTTATGTGCCTTTTTGGAGTACCACATACTTTTTAGTACCACATGCCACTATTTCAAGTTTACAGCGAGGTTTATCTTTCTTTGGTTCCATCTATCTTCCGCTCTCAAACTGAAAGTTCTACAAAGACAGTGGTGACACCTGTTTGTGCTTGGCATTAGATGCCCAGTACCTACGAAAGCGGGGCACTGCACAGATACATGAGCAAATGAACGCAGTTGGGACTTCCCTCGGAAGCCCAGAGATCAAGTTAAAGAAAGCGACCACCCTGTGTCGCTCTGGCTCAGACCCTCTCACGCCCTCCTCACCACTGACTCTGAGCCCCTCTGCAACCTCCTCTTCCCACCACTGGCCTCCAGCCACACTCGAGTCCCTGCTGATCCTTGAACCCCCCAGGCACCATCCCACCGCCTTTGCACATACGTAGAAAGGACTTCCCCTGACATCTGCACAGCTTGCTACTTTACTTTGCTCAGGTCTTGAGTCAAATGGTCTAACAACTTTAGAGGGGTCTCTGCTGACCACCCAGTCTGAAACAGTCCACACTGTCAACTCCTGATCCCTCCCTCTGCTTTACTGTCCAGCACTGCACTCATAACAACCTGACATTATGTTAAATATTAAACATAATTATCCCTTCATGGTCTGTTTCTCCTACCTAGAAGTCCATGAGGGCAGGAATTTTGTTTTATTTGATGCTACATCCTTAACCCCAAGGGCACTGCAGGCCCTCAATAAACGTTTGTGCACAGACATATGGATACCAACATCTGCACAGAGAGAGAAAAGCAAAAAGGAAAAACCAGAGACAGGGTTAAAGCCTGCTCCTTTGAAATCCTAAAAACTTACAAGCGTAACAACCTCTTAGTTGCGTTCACGGGGCGTTAACCACATTTTATTTTTCTTAATAAATGAGCTAGTGAGTAAACATTCTCAAACCTCTGACTAATAAAGCAGATGACATCGACAATGAACTATAAACAAACTATAAATGGGCTTGCTTGTCCGTTCATTCATAAAATAAACAAAGTGAATAGGACTTAAAAATAAAGAAAACATTATTCCAAGAGTAATAAACTTGACGCACTGTACTAAAACCTCCCCGTGTTTACCCCAGCATGTGTATTTGACAATTAAAAAACAGTCAAGCGCTTGCTTACCCATTCTCCTAAAATGCGTGACACGGCTTCATTGGCTCTTGTCATATTCCTACAGGCCAGGATCACGTGCGCACCATGGAGGGCAAAAGACTTGGCAGTTTCAAACCCTGTGGTTTAAAGGAAAGTCAACATTAGAAAACACAAATGCAAAGCACTGGGTCATGCTGAATAGCCTGCACTGAGCACCACACGCACGGCCCTGGTGGTTCTCAACCAGATGCGGCTTTGCCCCCTAGAAGATAGCTACAAATACCCAGAGACACTTTCAGCGGCCATAGCTGGGGGCTGCTGGTATCTAGCAGGTAAAGGCCGGAGATGCAACAAAATACCCTACAACACACAAGACAGCCCTCACAACAAAGAATCACCCGGCCCACATGCCAACCATGCTGCAGCTGAGAAAACCTGACCCCGGAACACAAAGATTTCAAAGGTGAGGGCTAGGCCACAGGAGAGCTCCCGGCAGAGCCGGCATTTCAGCATGGCTTACTAACGACCAGATCCTGTGTTAAACATAAAGAATAAGGATCCTCAGAAATGCAGACGTGGTCACTGCCCTCACAGAATTGAGGGTCTAGTAAGAGAAAGCAAACCTGGAAAGTAAAACCAACAATGTCTGGTAAGCTCCTCACAATGTGCTCTGCACTGTCTGAAATGTTTCAAGCAATCCTGCTTCCAGCAGCAGCACGAGCCTTCCTAGACCCACCCTCACACTGAGAACAATGAGAAAAGCTGGACAGAACAACACACACACACACATGCACACATCTCTTTGAAGGCATCATGATGAGGGACGCTCTGATTGAGAATTCTAGGGGCCAACATCTGGAAAACTTGAAAGGCCAAGAGAGGGGAGTGAGCACTCAGTGCTTCTACACCCAGTGAAAAATATCCTTTAAAAGTAAAAGCAAACAAAATTTTCAAACAAACAAAAGCTGAGAGACTACATCACAAGCAGATCGACACGACACTAGCGGAAAGCCTAAAGGATGCTCTCTAGATAGGAGGAAAATGACCCCAGATAGAAATCTGGAGATGCAGAAAGTAACAGAGTAACGTTAAGGGTAAACATATGAAAAAATCTAAGTGGCAATAGTAATAGTTTCTGAATTTCAGAACACCTATAGTGAGAATTACTATATTGGTAATAGTGACACATAATCTAGGAGGTAAGTAAGTACTGGGGATTACAGTATTCTAAGACCCTTGCACTGTCCAGGAAATGATAAAGTACCAGTTTATATGAAAACTTAGTCAAAAATACAGGTTGTAGTCTCTACAATTACCACTGAGAGAACAGTAAAATAATACAAATTTAACAAGTTAAAGAGGGGAAACAATAATAAAAACAAGGAAGGACGAAAAAGGAATGTAAAATAAGTTATATAAATATAAAGCCAATAATAAAGTGGTATATTTAATCCCCAAAATACCTTTAATTGCAGTAAATATAAACAGACTAAAAACGCAATCAAAAGACAAAGATTGTCAGACACGCTTTTTCATAACGGATTTGCTGCCAGGACACAGGTGTCGTGAAAACCACCACTAAATCTAAGCCAAAATGGGAGAGGAGAAGACTCACATCAACATCGTGGTCATTGGACACGTAGTTTCGGGCAAGTCTACCACCACCAGCCATCTGATCAACAAATGTGGTGGCATCGACAAGAGAACCATTGAAAAGTTCGAGAAGGAGGCTGCCGAGATAGGAAAGGGCTCCTTCAAGTATGCCTGGGTCTTGCACAAGCTGAAGGCAGAACGTGAGCATGGTATCACCACAGATATCTCCCTGTGGAAATTCGAGACTAGCAAGTACTACATGACCATCATTGATGCCCCAGGACACAGAGACTTTATCAAAAACATGATTACAGGCTGACTGTGCTGTCCTGATTGTGGCTGCTGGTGTTGGTGAATTTGAAGCAGGTATCTCCAAGAATGGGCAGCCCTGTGAGCATGCCCTTCTGGCTTACACTCCGGGTGTGAAACAACTAACTGTTGGCACTAACAAAATGGATTGCACTGAGCCACCCACAGCCAGAAGAGATACGAGGAAATTGTTAAGGAAGTCAGTACCTACATTAAGAAAATTGGCTACAACCCTTACATCATAGCATTTGTGCCAATTTTTGGCTGGAATGGTGACAACATGCTGGAGCCAAGTGCTAACATGCCTTGGTTCAAGGGATGGAAAGTCACCCGTAAAGATGGCAATGCCAGTGGAACCACGTTGCCTGAGGCTCTGGATTGCATCCTGCCACCAACTCGGCCAACTGACAAGCCCTTGCATTCGCCCCTCCAGGACATCTACAAGATTGGTGGTATTGGTAGTGTCCCTGTGGGTCGAGTGGAGACTGGTGTTCTCAAACCTGGCATGGCGGTCACCTTTGCTCCAGTCAACGTTACAACTGAAGTCAAGTCTGCTGAGATGCGCCATGAAGCTCTGAGTGAAGCCCTAGGCAGGGACAACGTGAGCTTCAACGTCAAGAACGTGTCTGTCAATGATGTTCGTCATGGCAATGTGGCTAGTGACACCAAAAATGATCCACCAATGGAAGCAGCTAGCTTCACAGCTCAGGTGATTATCTTGAACCATCCAGGCCAGATCAGTACTGGATATGCACCTGTGCTGGATTGTCACACAGCTCACACTGCTTGCAAGTTTGCTGAACTGAAGGAGAAGATTGACCGTCGTTCTGGGAAAAAGCTGGAAGATGGCCCCAAGTTCTTGAAATCTGGTGATGCTGCCATTGTTGACACGGTTCCTGGCAAGCCCATGTGTGTTGAGAGTTCTCTGACTATCCTCCTCTGGACTGTTTTGCTGTCTGTGACATAAGACAGGCGGTTGCTGTGGGTGTCATCAAGGCAGTGGACAAGAAGGCAGCTGGAGATGGCAAGGTCACCAAATCTGCCCAGAAAGCTCAGAAGGCTAAATGAATATTATCCCCAGTACCTGCCACCCTAGTCTTAATCAGTGATGGGAGAATGGTCTCAAAACTGTCTCAATTGGCCATTAAAGTTTAATAGTAAAAGACTGGTTAATGATAACAGTGCATCATAAAACCTTCAGAAGGAAAGGAGAATGTTTTGTGGACCTTTTGTTTCTTTTGTGCGTGTAGCAGTTTTAAGTTATTAGTTTCTAAAATCAGTACTTTTTAATGGAAACAACTTGACCAAAAATCTGTCACAGAATTTTGAGACCCATTAAAACAAAGTTTAATGAGGGAAAAAAAAAAAGACAAAGATTGTCAGACTGGATAAAAAACATACATAAAACATACTCCTTACAAAACTGTGTATATTATGTCTTATATCCTTAAACATAAGGATAGAAAAATTAAAAGCAAAAGAATAGGAAAAGGTATATCATATAAATATGAATGAAAAGAAGTATTATAAAAGAAAAAGCTGAATATTTCATAATGGTAAGTTCTAATCTACCAGGAATACATGACAATTCTAAACTTATATACCCACACACACATAGGGCAAAAGTTGACAGAATTAAGAGGAGAAATAGACAAATTCATTACCAGAGTGGAAGATTTTAATATCACTGACATATTAGTCAATAAACAAGAATAGAAGATCTGAACAACGTAACTGATAAACTGGAAATAACTGAATCTGTTAAGCACTGAACACAACAGCAAAATGTATGTTCATGTACTTAAAGACTATTTAAGAAAACTGAACATGTGCAGGGCCAGAAGTCAACAAATTTCAAAAGATTAAAACTATAAAGTATGCTCTTTGATCACAGTAGAATAAATACAAATCAACATAAGATCAACATAAGGTCCTAGAAAATTCCTCTACCTGGAAACTAAGCAACAATTTCTTACTGAAAACCTACAAATGAACCTACATATGAATTTCTTACTGAAATTCTACATATGAAAATTATGGAACACAGCTACAGCCATGGATAAAGGACAATCAATAGCCCTAAATACATATATTACAACAGAAAAAGAGCTCAGCATCCATTAAGTTAGAAAAATTTTAAAGCAGCTAATTACCTAAAGGAAGCATAAGGAAGGTAATAAAAATAAAAGAAGAAACTCAAAGATAAGACAAACAAAACACAGAGGGACAAAGAAGCCAAAAGTAATTTCCTTGAAAAAATAGTAACATTGACAAAGGGCTAGCAAGACAGAGAGAGAGAGAACACAAGTGAGCACTAGGGCACACTCTCAAGTGTACAAGCGAGCACACAAATGGCAGACATCAGAAGTGAATAAAAGGACATCACTACAAGGATCTTAGGAAGAAATGATGAACATTACACCAATAAATTTAAGATATGTGAGAAAGACAAATTCCCAGAAAGAAATTATTTAAAAATTGCTATAAGAAGAGATAGAGCAACTGAAAAATCCTATATATTTAAAGAAAATTCTCAAAATGAAAACTCTGGATCCATATGTCTTGAATAGTAAAGTCTAGTAAACATTTATGAAAATGCCAACCTTACATAAACTCTTCCACAAAATAGGAAAAGAAGAAAAATTCAACTATTATATAAGGCTTGAACTCATTAGTCATTAGGGAAATGCAAATTAAAGGTATAATGAGATAATACTGCATACCTACTACTACAATGGCTAAAATTTTTTGGAATTAAAAAAAAAAACAAAAACAATAACCAACAATGACCACGTCAAATGCTGGCAAGGATGTGGAGCAACTGGAACTCTTACACATTACCGATGTGAAAAGACAAAGGAGGGGAGCGAAAGGGAAAGGAGGGAAGGGGAGAGGAGGAATCCAATTCCAGAGCCTGAATGCCCCACCACTGTTCCAAAGTGTGATGGCATCCTCTAAGCTACGTGGAAAATCACAGAGAGTACATTGCAACAACAAAGTAACCAACTTTACTAGAGAAGGCAGCAATTCAGCCAAAGCCTTGTCAAGTGATCACAGATGACTGTATACAAGATAATGTTAACGTATATAAACATATATACCTACTGAGGTGGCCATGTGAAAGAGCCAAGCAAAGGTTACTCATTCATATCACTTTCATATATCTAATCTTGATGGAGGCCAGTCTATTTATATAAAGTAGTTCTCACAGCCAGCACAGCATAGGGAAAACTCA